CAGACTCCACTAAGCTTTCATCATCCACCCAATATTCATTTTCTGCTAGCTGAATGAAGTTGTTCTGGCAAAGATGTTCAGTCTCTTCTTCAATCACTGAGTTCAATTCAGAAATGCCTTGGCATTCTTCAGTGTCATCAACATATTTGAGCGTTCTAAAAACATTAACAGTCACACACTGATCAACCACTCTCATGGTGAGTTCACCTTTTTCACAGTCTATCAAGATACGTCCAGTGGCTAGGAAAGGTCTTCCCAGAATGATTGGTGCCTTGGCATCAACTTCGCAGTCCAGAATTAAGAAGTCGACTGGAAACACAAACTTGTCCACCCTTACTATGACATCCTCGACTCTCCCTTCAGGTTTAACATGGGATTTGTCGACAAGTTGTAAAATAACTGAGGTGGGTCTTGCATCTCCTATGCAAAGCTTCAAGAATATCGATTTCGGCATTAAGTTGACACTTGAACCAAGATCACATAAAGCCTTTCCAATGAAATTAGCTCCAATTGAACAAGGAATAATGAAGCTGCCCGGATCATTTCTCTTTGGCGGCAACTTACTCAATGAAGAACAAAATTCTGTTGCCGTGGCAACAGTCTCTACTTTCCTCTTCTTGGTACAGATGTCCTTCAGAAATTTTGCATACATCGGCATCTGTTCAACAACTTCCAAGAGAGGTATATTGATATGGAGCTGATCAAGAATGTCTACGAACTTCTTGAACTGAACTTCATCATTGTGCTTCTTAAATCTTTGCGGGAAGGGTGGGGGAGGTCTAGCTTCCTTAGCTGTAGGAATAGAATTTTCTGTTGCCTTGGCATCAGAATCTGGTACCTTGGCAGAATCCTCCTCCTTTTCCTTCTCAGAAACTCTATCATCTTGTAATTCAGCTTCAGTAGTGGAATTAGAATCATCATGTTGTGGCCCACTATCCTTGACTTGTCGATTGATTTATGTTCCACTCATAAGAGTTAACACATTGCAATGCTCTTTTCCAGGCCCTTTAGTGAATTCAGTATCACTTGGAAAACGTCCTTGCTGATGCTCTTGCAATGCCGTAGCAATCTGACCAACTTGACCTTCCAAAGCTCTCAGAGACGAGCTATGGCTTTGAAGTAAGGCGCCTTGACTATGACGTAAAGCTCCTTGATTCTTAATTGAAGTAGAATGGTCTTGCAGCATTGTCTTCGTAGTAGATATGAATTCTTGAATTGTAGCTTCTAAGGAACTTATGCTCGCTGAAGATGAAGCTCCTTTGTTAGCATTATGCCATGGCATAGCATTTTGGTAACTTTGAGGCTCATTGTGATTCTGCTGCCTAGTAGGTTGATTAGCATTGTGGGCTCCTTGATTTCCCCATGAGAAATTAGGATGCTGACGCCATCCAGCATTATAAGTGTTTGAGTAAGGATTATTGCTGCCTCGATTGTAATTGCCTACAAAGTTGATAGACTCATGGTTGGTTGGGCATTCGCTCTCGTGATGATTACCTTGGCATAACAGACATGCCAGATTAGTTGTTTTCACTTCCTTCACATCAGTGGAACATTGTAAGTTCTTCAACATATTAGTAATAGTGGAGAGTTGAGCGGACACCGAATCTTTGGCTTCTAACTCGAATGCTCCAGGTGCTCTCCTCCCACTCCCAAGTCTTGAGGAAGGAAATTGATAATCATTGTTAGAAATTCTGTCCAAGATAGCAAATGCCTCCGTAGGTGATTTGTCCAGCAATGTCCCATTTACCGAGGCATCCAGTAACATCCTCGTGGGTGCATTGACTCCATTATAGAACATGAATACTTGAGTCCAATCATGAAAACCATGATTTAAACACTTTCGAAGCAAACTCTTGTAACGATCCCAACACTCATACATGGATTCGTCGTCGCCCTGGCGAAAAGATGATATTTCATTCCTTAGCTGCGAATTCATGTTTGGTGGGTTGTACCTCAATAAGAAACTCTTGCAAAGATCGGCCCATGATTCCATCGAACCGGCTGATACACCACTCAACCAAGCTCTTGCTCGGTCACGCAATGAATACGGAAAAAGCTTCAATTTCAGAAAATCCTCATGCACTCCTTATTGGCGGAAAGAATCACAAACTTCCAGAAAATTGCGAATGTGCTGCCTGACATCTTCAGTTGGCATACCTCCAAACTGCCCAATGGAATTCAACATGTTGAACATGACTGGTTTCAGCTCGAAATGTGCAGTTTGAATTTTGGGTGCCACAATCCCAGGATTCAGATCATCCAGCATCGTATTTAAATGATCTCGAATAACACGAGGCCTGATAGCAGGTTCAGCATTGTTTAATGCCGCGGCATTCTGATTTCCGTCATCTTGACCAATGCCTTGGTTTCCAATCTGATACATATTTCCTTGAGCACGTCTTCTTCTTCTAAAGAGTCTTTCAATCTCAGGTTCTATCGGTTCCAAAGGCTCTTCAGAATTTCTTCTAGGCATACACTAAATAAACCTGAAAAATAAAACAAAAATATCAAGTAAACTATACAAAAATAAAAATGCAAAACAAAATAAAATGCTCTGGCAAAACTAAATAACTTCAGGCTGCCAATCCCCGGCAACGGCGCCAAAAACTTGTTCGCTTTTTGTGAGTATTATAAAATATACGCAAATAATGTGCAAGTATACACAATCGCTCAAGTAATATAATGATGAGTGAGTATCGTCTCCACAGGGATTGGGTGAAATCATAAAAGTCTAACCAAAACAATGCAATATTCTATCTAAGTATAGTTAGTCTTGGTATATACAAATGTCACGGCAATGGATATGTGTAGGCTAGTGGATGCGGATTGATGGTGTGATGGTGTAGCAAATGGAAATGCAGTGGCAATAATGGATGTTTAATATTGAGTATGGTGAAATGTCAAGGCAATGAAAAATGATAAAAACAGTAAATAAAAAGATAAATAAATAAAATAAGAAGAAAATAATCCTCACGTGACAAGCTTCCAATGAAATGAATGGTAAGGATTGGTCTAAGGTTGCTAAACTTATTTCCCAAGTATATTCAAGTTATCTTGTCTTTACTTACTCGACAAGGCTTTCCTAAGGTGTTCAAAAGAACCTAACAGAATAGGATGCCAAGGCATCTGCTCTCACTCAACGATGTTGGACAACCTACCCTATTGATAAAGACACCTTTCTTAGTCGTTGAAATCCTATCCTAGTCTCTTCCGAGATCTAAGGGATTAAGTTATAATATTCCTAGGCCGGTTCAAAGCCCCTTGAAAATACCATAACCCATTGCTTATGAGGATCTTATCTTGCGTTTCTTCCGAATACTTACAAGTATTTTTAGTTTAGGATTCTTCCGAATACCTAACCTTCATCTAAGAGATGGACATTTCCATGCCTCTTACAAGCCTAGATGGTGAAGCATTCATAAGCAAAGCAGATAAAGAACCAAAATAAACTTAAATATACCATTAAAAATAAAGTTTAAACAACCATTCAACCAACCACCACCAAATAAGTTAGTTCATGGTGGGGTTCGAAATATCCAAACACAAAGTCATGAAAATATTCGTTCCAACAACCCACAAATTAATAGAAAAATAGCAGTAAAAAGGGAAGTGAGAAGAAGCCTTCGACGCGCCACCGGAGGTCTCCTCTCGGCCACCACGAACCACCTAGCTCGCTAGCTCCTTTCGGCGCCTAGCTTGCCACTCCTTGGAGCTTTATCAATGGAGGAATATCCCAAGGAAGAAGAAAGGAAAAGAAAATAAAAATGTGATTTTTTTCTGCTTGCGTGTGCTCTCTCTCCGTATGTCCCTCTCTCCCATGAGGTGTCATATATAATAAATAAAATATCTAGGGGGTAATGATGAGTTTGTTGGGTGCAAAATACCCCTCATACCCCCTAGAATCACATGTTGTGCATGATCCTTATCCTCCAAGTGGCGGTGGTCCATTGGCAGCTCTGGCAGGCGGTTACAACAGTCCTTCACGTGCAGAGACAGTTGTCCAGTGCCAGCTGTCCTTATGCAGAAATATCTTTTTGTGTTTTTCTGCGCCAGAAATGCCAAGGCATTTCAATCTACTTTAGCAACGTGTGATGCCGCGGCATTACTTCCCAAAGAATCCTTTTCCTTGCTATTCCCTGCACACCATAGACAAACTGCACCTTTCCCTCAAACAGCACCATTAAGAAATAAAATAGCACAACCACCACAAATGCAACTATATGCAACTACATGATCCTAAAATGACTAAAATGAGCTTTTAAGCAAACAATAACTTAAGTGAAAAAGGCTTTAAAAAGTAGCATTTTTAGGAAGTTAACAGTAATCTTTTGGATAAGTTAGTGGAAGAACAATGTAAGAAAATATTTTTGAAAAGTTTATTATAAGATTTAAGTGTGTTTTTTTAAAAGGTAATAACCATTTTAAACATGATATTGTAAGTTAAAAAATATATATTTGAATGATATTTAATTTATTATTACTATAATATATAAAATATATCAACTTAAATTATGATAAAAATACAAAAATAAATTTTATCATAAAAGAAAAGAATTTGTAATGATTGTATGTATTTCATGAAATTATATATAATTTTTAAAATTTACAAATGACTTATCAATCATATAATTATGTCTCAATAAAAAATTATAAAACAAACACATCATACAGAAACAATAAATAATAACAAATGAGAACTACAATTGCAATTTCAGTTTTAATTTTAAAAACTGAAATTTTTTATTTTTATATTTGTGTTAAAAATAAATAAATAAATATATATATTTAAAAACTATCTATTTAACGTTAAACCCTATTTTTTTAAGTAAATACTAAACTGACCTGAATAACTAAATACTAAAATATTTCAAATCCTATTTTAACATTTTTTATGTCAGTTCATCAAACACACGTGTTTTAACTTTTTTTTTATATGTCAGTTCATCTAAAGAGCATCCAAATTTCACCCAATCTCCTTTAAACTGTCTCTCCAACCAAAACCCAAAACTTGTTTACATTCGAAGAAAACCCAGAAATTTCGAGGAGCCGTCAAAAAATAAAATGTGTCAATGGGAGAGAAACCCGAGTCGGCCGACGAAGACAAATTCACCATTGGAGTTCAGGTCAGCATTCGAGGTTCTCGACGCAGATCGTGACGGGAAGATCGGTAGAGAAGATTTAAGGAGATTATACGCAGGGTTTTGTAACGGGAACGACTCTGGTTATAACGAGGACGATATGATCGAGTCAATGATTTCTTTGGCGGATTTAAACAAAGATGGGTTCGTGGAATACGAGGAGTTCGAGCATGTCTTAGGATTGTCGTCGAAGAAGAAGAAGACAATTTTTGAGGTAATAATGGAAGATGTATTCAAGGTAATGGACAAAGATGGAGATGGGAGATTGAGCCATGAGGATTTGAAAAGTTATATGGAATGGGCTGGATTTTCTGCTTCCGATGAAGATATTAAGGCAATGATCACATTAGGTGGTGACGACGAACAGGATGTTTCTTTCAATGCTTTGCTCCAGATTTTGGGTGTTGACTTTGCTGATTGATTTTAATATGTATTTTATATGTGATTCAAATGATGGATCAAATGAATTCTCGTCAAGTTGGAAATAAAATATTCTCTTATATTTTTATATTTTATATTTTTTTATTTAAAAGGAATCTTAACCCATCAAGATTTGTTATTTTATTAATGAGTAGTCGAGTACAGCACTGGCATATGACGTTGACATTGAATTTGCTTTCGATCGTAATGACTGAATTTTAATCACTTGAGAAAACGTAAATTATAGCTTCTTATGGTGTAAACCTAAGAAGGAAATAGTTAAACTGTAATGAACGTAAACCTAAGATGGCATATGGTTCATGGAATATTATATTGGGAATATTATATTATTGTATTTGGTTTGATTGATAGAAATGTAAGGTTATAATATTCAGTTGAAGGAATGTAAGATTATTAGAATCTACATCTTATAAAAGTTGAATTATGAATATTGAAATAAACATATTTATATAAAAATTCATAGAAAATATATTATTTTATTATTTCTAATATATGTATATATATTATAAAATTTAAATTTATAAAATTTATATATTTCTTTATATAAATTTTTAAAGATAAATAGGTATAATAAAAAATATAAATATACCATATATTCTTTTAATCCCAATCAATATTAATTTTCACATCATTTATCTGAAAATATATTAAAATTTTGCATAAAAGTATTTAACTATAGAAGAATACAAAAATTCAAAATTTTAGCAGATGGATCATTATACTTCTATCAAAAATATAGAGGGGTCACTTTGCTATTTTTGCAGAGATTATTTTTAATTTATTGGTTAGAAAAAAAAGAATATATTTTTTGTTGAAAATAATAATATGTTTACTTTATAGTATTTAAAATCATATAATATCTACCTTATTCAAATATTTTAAAGTAAATTTCAATTTGTCGCAACCAGATTTTCGATGGAAAGACTGATTCGACAGGTTTTGGAAAATTAAAGGTTTTTATGAAAAGATGTGAGTCGCCACCAATTATTTTTAAGGTGAGATTAAAATACCTAAAATCAAGTAATTTTAATAAAACATATACCAAGTTTTGGTATGTGAAATCAGAAAACGGGTTCGAGCGTTAGTTACGCGTGGAGAATGATTAGCACCCCCATAGCGTCCAAAATTGGTACCTAGTCGATTACCCTATATTTAAAAAATTGGAAATTTTGAGTTTAGAACTTTATTTAATTTAAAAATCACTATGTATGCATATTTTGAGAAAGGATGTCGATTTACCAAGACTAATAACGACCACCCCAAGCAAAAGCAGTCAACCACAATAAATAAACATTGCCTTAATAATTTAGAAATCGTGATGTGGGATTTTGAAAAGGATGTTGATTTACTTCGGGAATCAACATCGGTCACCCCCGGGCAAAAGCGGGAGATACACTACTAACCCCTAATAAATGAACATTGCCTTATTTTGAAAATCAAAATGCAGTCAAACAATTGGTTATAGAAACTAATTATAGTAAATGAATTAATTAAGGCTTCCCTTTAACTTGAAGTGTCAAATTATGAAATTTAATGAATCTAAGGGATTAAACCTAGAAATGTAGGCTCTCATATTTATTCAAATCATTTCTAATAAATTATTGAGTCGAATAGTCAAAATGGAACCACAAGAATACGCGAGGACCAAATTAAAAATTATCCTAAATTAAAGGACTTCATTTGAAATTAAGCCTAAAGTGAAGGCTCTAATATTAATCCTAATTAATTTTAATCGATTATTAAATCGAATAATTAAAATGCAACCTCGAACAAAAGTAAGGACCAAATTAAAATTCCCTCAAATTAAAGGACAAAAATTTCAAATTAAGCCTAAAAGGTTAGGGACCAAATTAAAAAGATTCTAGCTTTAAGGACTAAATCTAAAAATCTAGTGATCTATCAAGGACTAAATTAAAAGGATACAAATATTAAAGGCAATTACAATATATAAAAGGACTAAATTAAAATAATTTAAAAATACAAAACTAAAATTAAATCTTGAAATAAAGGACTAAAATAATAGAAATCAGAATAAAAAGCTTAAATTAAGACAATACAGAAAATTAAAAGCTGGAATTTAAAGGACTGAAATGTAAGCATTGATCTTTTAAAGTTAAAATTAAAATAACAGAAATTAAATTAAAGGACTAGAAATTAGTCAATCGAATAAATTACGAGTTAGGGGTAAATTTTTTAATTGTTACCTGAACCATAAATAACACGAATCATACCCTGGGGGATAATCACGAGGTTGTAAAAATGATTCAAATATATTTTTTAAATTGGTGGTTAATAAATTAGTATGTTAACAGTTAAAAGTTAGAATTTTACCTGGACCATAAATAATGTGGATCATACCCAGGGTGTGTCACCACAAGGTCATATTAACGTTTAATATCAATATTTAATAATGAGGACTAAAATGTAAAAACAATAATCAAATCATAAATAAATAGTGACTAAAATGAATAAATTGCAACTACCACATCAAATTCGTAATAAAATAAAAAAGGAAAAATCGGTGACTAAAATGTAATAAAATAGAAAAAATGTCAAATTAAAGTAAATTGACAGAAATAAAAGTTACCAAAATTAAATCAAAGAAAAATACCAAGCATCAAACCTTAAAGAATAAAAACGATAGGACAGGAGATTGAAATGTAAGAACACGTAAAAGTTAAAGGGACCTAAAGTGTGATTTACCCAATTTTGAAACCTAAGACATTTCTAAACAAAATAATAGGGAGAATTAACACATATAAGCCCATCAATTTGAAATAAAATCAAATATTAGTTACCAAGATGGAAATAAGCGCCTAAATTACAGAGACCTAAAGTGAATTTGCAACTAAACTTTTATATGAAACCTATATTTTACTAACTTAAACTAATTTTTCCTAAACATAAAACATAAATAAACCCTACTCTCAAACACCTCATTTTTGTTATCTAAACCCCAAAACAAAGCCCAAAACTAACATGAAAAGGCTCCTAGCCTCCAAAGCTTCGACCCTCAACTTCGTGGCACAGATGATAATAACTCCGACGACAGACTAAGGTAAACTGACTACTCATCCTTTTACTTTCGTTTTCTATTTCTAAAATCTCAGAAAGAAAAGCTAGAATATGAAGGTAAGAAGAAAACTTTTTTTTATTTTTTTGTTTTTTATTATGTCACACCCCAAAATTTTGGGTAAAAATATTAAAAATTCATTAGATAAATTAAGCGGGTTAAATTAGACTTATAATAATAATTTTAGGATAAACTAAAAAATAAGAATAGTTTAGGGACTTATCTCATAATTTCACCATCATACCATAGCTAAAAATATCAAAGGGAGGAAAATTTTAAATATTAAAATGTGAGTGGTGGGTTTTGAACCCACATTCCTCTAGAAACTTAAGCCTAGAGCCATAGCCATCTAAGCTAGGCTACTATTAATTAAATAAAATAATCATATTATCTTTTAGGTTGAATAAATTGCGTTAACCCATTTCTAATACCCCTAATCATGAGTCATCCATATCCCCAAACTAAACATTTTCCCTTTACTCAAAAACCACCCCTCGTTCCTAAGCTTTCCCTCGTTCCTAAGCCATTTCACATGATGAAGCCAAAAACAAGCCATTGGAGAAGAAAGTTATGGCTAATCAACAATCATTCATGTCTATCAATAACGTTGGCAAAACCCCAAAAAGGTCCGAACACATGTTTACTTCGAAGATAACTTAAATAAGTCTTGAGTTGCAAAAGCCTACGCAAAATGATGGTTCAAAAGTGGCTCTTTTTCAACAGAATAACATAGAATAGCTGACATTTTCCTTCAATCTGGAAAGCTGAGGGACGAAAATGGCTTCGGGAACAGTAACACCACCATGACTCGACGATGTCTCATAGGCATCCTCAAGCTTCATAAATTGCCCCCACTGAGAAGTTGCCAAGTGGGCATAGAAAATAAGAGCAATGATAGAGATCGCGGTGGTGCTCCTTTGGTACACATACAATAGAGAATGAACTGGTTCCAATATAATCTAACAAAACATGATAACGGGCAGGCCTCATGGTTCTAATCATTCCCGCATGAGCCAAAAAGATAGAAGTCATTGTTTTTTGGATGACAGATTTTGTTGTCTATAACAGCGTCATGTGAGACATTATCAGGAGATTCCTGCTGGAAAAACTTAGCAGGATGGGTTTTCTGTGCAACGATGACCACAAACTCATGGTTCTAACTCTCATCAAGAAATTTGCAAGCCTCGATGACTTGATCCAGTTTTTGTTCAAAGCCTGATCGAATTGAGACCTATTGATCTTACCCCTGAATATGATCATCCGATCAGGATTCCTCTTCCTGAACTTATATAGAAATCCAAAAGAATCTCCCTAATGATACCCTCATCCCCCTTGTCAGACACTCTTTTGAATAGAGAATCTATCATTTCAAGCTTAGGTGACTGTGTCCATACAGATGTCTAGGTAAAGTACAAAAGTTGAGCTATGGAGCTTTAAAAAGTTTAGATTGGATGTCCTCAAACCTTTTATCCACTCTAATAACGGGAGAGCAACTCCTGTTCTGATTTGTCTCTTGAAACACATTAATGGGAGGGTCTATCCTAATTCCTTTCATGTCTCCACATCTAATCAGATCTCAAACAAGGCTATATGTATCACATTATGCCAAGAAATTAAAAGCATCCTATCATTCAATCTTAGTTGGGTTTACTAGTTTTTGTTGTTAAAATTCCATTGCCCATTTCATGGAAAGAAATCCTCATAATTCATCACTTTTAACCTTGGTGCAAGCAGAACACGACCTTCCACTTGGGTGAAATTAATGCTGATAGAAGTGCCACATGAACTCAACATTGGCTAGTACCATAATTTCTCCTCTATAAAGCACTAAACAAGACAATTATTCTTTCCTGAGGTTTCTGTATTGATTTTTCAACCAGCGAAGCTACCTGGAAAGTGGTGTTCGG